ATAAATGAAAAGCAACTTTTTAGTTAAAAAATTTTAAACGTTATAAAAAAAATGCCTTACGATTTAAGGGATAAGTATAGTTTAAAACAAAAAATAAATTGATAATAAATTAAAAAAAAATGTAAGCAAGTTTATTATTATCAAAAATCACAAGTTTTTATATTAATCAATAAGATTATAAAAATAGAATATTTAGATATAAATTGCTTAATAAAAAGCTTACTATCAAAACCAAATTATATAAAAGAAAATTAATATATATAAAGATAAAATACGTTTTTGATATAAGAAATAGGTAATTACAGAATGTATTTTTAGTAAAAACTATAAAGATAAGACAGAACTATATATTTATAAATGTTAAAAATTTATTATTTTATTTATTTCATTTGTATATACCATATACATAATAACTTTATAAAAAAGACAATAAATTAAATACTAGTTTGTTTGTATAATTTATATTTAACTAATATTAAAAACAAAATTTAAAATAATATTAATATATTAGATATACTTAAATAATGGAAATATATATCTATTTAAAAAAGTTAAATTTTCAATAAATCATCAAACGGATACATCTTATTTTTTTAGTTTCTGACTAATTAATGATATAAATTTTGTTAATATGAATAATAAAATATAGTTGGCATTGCTTGCTATTATAGCTATTGTTTTTTTGTTTTTGTTATGATTTAATTCTTGTTTTGATAAAGTGAAAGAATTTGATTGGATGATTGATAAATATTGATTAGTTGAATGATATCATCGATCTAATTTCTTATTTTAATAACAATCAATAATTAATAAAAGAGATTATTCCAATATGTTTTTTATTTTCAATCTTAATGATTGAATTAAATTAATTTTTGAGAATTTGTTTTTTAATTATAATTTTATTTGAAAGTTTCAAAAGGAGTACAACTAATAATATATTTATTGTTTTGACAAAGTATCTTTTGAATCAAGTTCATAAGAAATATTTTTTTGATACCAGTTCTAATTATAACAACGATAATTACATGTACAGTATTAATCATTAATTATAAAAAAAAACAATCAATTGTTAATTTAACAACTTTTAGGTAATCAAATTATCTTTTAATATATATGATAATTAATATTTGATGCCAATATGTGTACAGGTTACTGGAAATTTCTTAGATGATATGTCGTTTAGTAACGTGCGGGATAAGGTGATGACTGTTAAAAAATTTAGAACGTTGCAAGAACCGTGAGTTGCGCCGGTTGCAAGATGAAGAATGTTGTCACGATGATGAAAAGGTATCCTTACGGTCGAAGAACTGGATGCAAAGAATTTGCGATTGACCTACATGTGAAAAGGCATGTCGATTCATCATTTTTGTTTGATTCCTCTATCGTCAGCAAAGAACCGTTTATAGGATTTTTATTGTGCAATACACAGGTTCTTTGTGCTCTCAAGTCAAATAGATATGACAAAGTTTCTTGATCATGCATCGATATTACAGATATTACAACGGCAAGCCGAGATACATAACTCATGACCTAGTACCACACCTGATCGCTATTTGATAACAAAAAATTCCCATTATTCAATAATTTCTAACGCCAATGGAAAAAAAAAAAAAAAGAGCCTAGGATCCAAAGTAAGAATTAGTAAAAGACAAGTCAAGCACAGTGTCCGTGAGACCCCCTTTCCGAAATTCCGATGCCTTGCTACGGTTAACTTATCCTCCTTTTCAAAAAAAAAGAAAGAATTTCTTGGGACTTACCGTAACAGGATTTAAAATCGCGCACATTAATCCGTGATTTTCGGCGCTGTTAAAGGAAATTCGTTATGTAATCCGCAATAGAACAATGGACATCTAATTTCGGAAGGTAACACGCACCGCTTACCTAATTTGCCATTGTTTTAGGATTTTATCGTGCGTGTAACCCTTCGCCGTAGTACAAGAGCGACCTGGCGCGTACACGTGTTGCTTGCCATTGTCAAGAAATTTTATGCGAGATGATATAACCTGTGAGGTCACATGATTATTTGGCATACGAATTCCGCAGGTGTTACACGAGAGAAGTAAAATTGGTACATTTATGAGAGTGATTGGTGTGATGAAGGGATAAATCAGATTGGAATTGCCGAAATGGAAATTTTCATTTCAAACTTTAGCATGTCGATAACACTGTGATCGTCACGAAAATCAATAGATGATTGGATCACTCATCGGAGAAAGTGAGTCGCACATGGGTAACGAAAGGTAAACAATGAAAGAATTAGGTGACGACATCATGATAGTGAGAATGATTAATTTGATTGAAACAACAAATATCATAGGTTTCTAAAGGGTCACACAGGAAAATTTCTGCATACTTTATTACACAAATTCTTTATTTCCGTGAAAAAAATTCGATAAGGTTAGATTTTCGGAAAAGACGAGGAGATAATTAAGGGGGCAGAAAATGGACAAGCACTCATTGGAATCATGGACAACAATAAAAACGGATTGTTATAACAATCCTTGACAATGTCATATAACGCTATTATTTGAACAATGTATAACCTTGGGATATTGATTCTCTTTTTTTTCAATCATATGATGGAATCTGAATGAACCTTTCTTTGGAAAGAATACAGTCAAATTGGTTCTCATAAAGATTTCGGTCAGGTCTTTGTTTTTTATCCAGCCTATCAACCGATCCTCTGTAAATTAATGCACTGATATCGAAAATAAAGAAAACTGGCTGAAAAACAAGATAAGATCGTCAAAACATATACCGCACTTATTTGCTGACCACTCTGAATACTCTGTCAAATCTTCGGCACAACACCGAGTATTGGGATCTTAATTAAAGTAATTCGAGTAATTATTAATCGACAAACACCAATGAAAGCACAACGTTTACGAAACGCTTTGGCGTAAATTTGGGACGCGTTTTGTCACGTGCCTTGACCTGGCGTACTTTGTAGAACAAATTACAGTAAATATCGTTCTTGCAATGAATTAGTCGAGTCGTGTAAATAATGTGATAATCGAAATTTGTTCGCGACATTAATCGAATACTTCGCGTATTGTTTGTTTGCCAGTCACAACAGGACCACGCGATCCTTCAAAATCCCAAAGGAAATGATGGTATCACACCACCCTTGCCACAATAACATATGCCAATGAAACAGTTTCATATTCATGCAAGTCCCCCAATTCCTTTTCGTTTTTCTACACTCTGCATATTGACTCGTTAAAATTGTTCTAATTACCGTCACACTCGATTGTTAGACATAATTGATTGGTAATAAGTGTTCGTTCTACGGTCTGGTGCGTGATTCTTTCATATCTGCATGTTACAACGTGTCAGCGAAAAATCGAAGTGCGACTGGTCAATAGGAGATCAGAAATTAATGTCCAAACAAAGCGTTATCACGATCGTGACTTTAGAATTTATCCATAAGAGACTAACAAGGATCAAAGAATTGTGCTAGAAATTCCTGTTAATTCATTGATGCATGCATGTGCTGAGAAAATTAAACCTGTTTATTATTGTCTCTTGCTCGTGGGCATGAAGTATGGTGCTGTGATTGCACGATATCTATGTGGCGTACTTTCTTTTTTTTTAATGTACCCGGAGGAAAAAAAGTCGGATCTTTGGTTCAAATTTTTTATCTTCAAGTCTCTTCGCACATTTCACGCTCTCCACCAACGTCAACACTGAAACTTGCGTCTCGTCAAATATTATTTGTCGTGCTCTTTAATTACTCCCGTTTTCATTAAATTCGTCGTTCATAAAGTTGAAAAAAAAAAAAAAAAAAATTAGGTGATGCGTGATGGGATTGGTGTAAGGTGATGGTTTAAGATGTACGTGTGTATCTATGCACGGATGCATGCTCGTCCTCAAAACTCGGTTTAAACTAGCATACTTAATGGAGCCTAAGCTAGATATGTTGATCGATGACGTATTCTATGTTATGGCACTGGCTGCATTTTGCGATCAGAAAAATTTTTTTTAGGGAACACAAAAAACCGGATCTTCCTGATACAGAATGATCAAAAAAGTTGTCAATTACTAATCCTGACCTAATTCTTATCTCACATCATAGTCTATGGAATACTAGTTATTTATTATTTTGTAGTTATTACGTTGTGCAAATCACTGGCGCATATTGCAAAATCAATAAAACCCCAAACGAGCATTTAATTAAATGAAATCCACCAAGTAAAAAAAAAATATAATTTATTTTTGATTCTATGATTTTGAAATATGTAAACAGCTTTCTGTGATCGTTTTAGTTAAAAAGATGGAGGATCCGTCGTGTGTCTTCTCGACGGAGTCCGGAAAATTATTTTGCTTACTATGGATGTGTTACGATTCGCAATCGGACGTGATCACGCAAATGTCTTGATTGACACCGTTAGATACCGTGAATACTAAAACAAACCTCCATAGAATTACTAATACCTTATGTGATCAATGTGAATATGCAATAAATGTTTCATTTTCGGATCTAATCTCCTCGTTTTGATTTGACATAAATATTTACAAGCGCAAAATCTTGTAATTGTGAGGTAGTAAACATTTCTCCTGAATTCTCACATCCTTTTTTGACAAGCGTGCGATACGTAATCCATGAGTCGATGTCGTAACAGATTTTACCAAAAGGTTTTATATAATTAATTACCTTGTTTTTCAAATGTTCTCTTTTCATTGTACTGCGTGAATTTAGGTTATCCAATGACCAAGGGATTCTTGGAATTGGTATTCGCATAAATTATCTGTAAAATGTGGTTCGTGCAAATCAAGTGGGGCTGGTTCTAGAGATTCCGAATTCGGAATTGCCTTTCTCGTGTTGCGGGAGTTACGTAATCCGCCGTATCATTTGTATCATTTGAATCTAATATATTTTTTTGAAATGTTAATATATACGATTTATAGTAAAAAACTCTCAATTAGATACCGTACATGTACATACAATGTATGTTATTATTCATTTAGTGAATTTGCTGTTTGTTTTAACTAACAATCCATTATTTTGTTAAACAGTAACATCCGTGCATCAAACTGTTATAACAAACCCTAATCATTTTCTTATTATGTTTTAATAAAAAAACATATTGTAAACATATTGTTAAGTTAATAACCATTTTTTGTTAAAAAATTTCGTATAAGTTGATACAAGATGTTGCATAAGAATTAACAAACAATTTACGGTACCTCGAAATTTTATTGGTAAATTATATTTTATCAAAATATTCAATTAGAATATCGTTTATTATTATTTTTTCTTTATGTCTTTCTTTAATTTTAAAAAATATTTATAATAGCTTCATATTATTTATTTAATAAAATACATTTCTTTTTATATTTGCTATTTTATTACCATAAATAAATTGATATTTCTTTTATAATATATAGTTTGCTATTTACAAATCAAATAAAAAATTAATATTTATTTATTTAAAAAATATCTTAAAATAATTGTTTATCTCTTTATTTGTATTTTTTAGAAAATATTTGAATATAATATATGTATGTATTTTTCAAATGCAAATATATAACATATAATAAATTAAATATAGTTTAAATAAGATTTACTATAATTATTTTAAAATAATTGATACTTTGTTATATAATAATATAATTATTTTATATAATCTTGTTTTAAATTGTAATAAAAATTTGATAATCTTATGATTTAAAATTACAAATATTAATAAAAAATTATATATATTTTTTTTTAAGATTTTAAGTAATAAGTATTAAAGAAAATGTTTAAATCTTTTAATTATTTTTAAAAATTATTTTTAAAAATTATACAAATATTTTATTTATAATAAATATAATTAAAGACAAAATTTAATAATTTAAATTAATAATAGGATTTTTATATTTATATAAATTTCATCTAATAAATTTATTACAAAAACTCTTTTCCACTTTTCTTTAAATACTTAAAAAAATTTTCTTTTTAAAAAACTTTTGAGTTGTTTACTTTTTTCATTTTTTTTTTCTTTTCTCCTATATTCTTTTATTTTATTTATTTTATTTTTTCTTTTTTTTTTCAAAATATTTTTTTTCTTTCCTCTTTTTTCCTACTAAAGCTAAATTTTTCTTTCTTTCTAAAGATTTTTCTTCCTAAATCTTTTTTTTTCTTACAAATATTACTTCAAAATATCAATTCTCTAGCCAGTTGACTTTTTTTTTAAAAAAATTATATCAAAAATTAATAAAATATGAGCTTCAAAAATTTTTTTCCTTTCATGATTTCACAGAAAAAGAATAAAGAATTTACTTTCTCCAAAAAATTAATATTATTATTATTACATATATAAAAATATATATAAAGTACAAATTTCCTAGACCCAGCTTACCTATTTTAAGCTGAAGTCTTTAGATGTGATTTATAAGAGTGATATATTGCTAGCCTGATAATTAGGATTAAGATCTAGTTATGCCATGAGAATTATAGCTTGCAGATCATTTCTACAGTTATGACTATAC